CCCCCTTAAGGTACGACCATCCCTCATGGACTCCCATCTCTTCTATCTTCTGGGCCCTCAGTGCCTCCCCCAATAATCTCCAAAGCTCATTGAAGTTGGCCCTTCTGAAGTCAAGGGCTTTAGTCTTGCTATAAGCCCTTGACACCCTGCACTGGATAATGAATTCCAGCAGGTGATGATCGCTATTGTCCAGGTGGTCAAGGACCTGCAGTTCCCTCACCAGGTCATCCCCAGTGGCCAGGACCAGGTCCAGCAAGGCGTTACCCCTAGTGGGGCTGTGCACTTCCTGGATAAGGTGAAGGTCCTGTAATACAGCCAGGAACCTACGCGAGCAGTCAGACCTGGCTGTCTGCTCCTCCCAGCAAATGTCGGGGTAGTTTAGGTCACCCATCACAATAACATCCCTTGACCTAACTGCCTCCATAAGCTGACCGGAGAAGTCCCAGTCCAGCTCTTCCCCCTGGTTGGGTGGTCTGTAGTAGACACCCACCGTAAGGTCCTTTTTGCCATGCCCCCCCTTGTAGTTTGACCCACAGTGTCTCCACCCGACCCTCCTCTAACCCGAAGCTAATCCTTGATGATGTGAGTTGCTCTTTGACATAGAATGTGACCCCCGTGCGTTTCCTCTCTGTCCTGTCCCTGCTATATAGGGTGTATCCCCGAAAGCCCACTGCCCAGTTGTGGGTAGGGTCCCACCAGGTTTCTGTGAGGCCTACTAAGTCTGGATTCTTACTCGCAATCAGGAGGCACAGTTCCTCTTGCTTGCTCCCCATACTACGAGCGTTGGTGTAGAGGCACTTGAGGCCTCCTGAGGGTGCACGTGCCTCCCCCTACTCCCAGGACTGTTGTGGCCCCCTACTCCCAGGACGTTGCACCTGCACCTCCAGTATCTGAAACAGTACGTTTCCTAAGAACTCATATCTGTTCATTGTCGATCCTGTCTGCATCACATCACCATTTGATATTGCTTTTATCCACAGTCTCTGATCCTCCCTGACATCTCTTGATGCATCTTCCATGTCTTCTGGCTGCACCAGGTAGGCCAGGATTCCATTGTGCTTCTGCCCCTTTCTGCCTCTCATCCAACATACTTTTTCTTCTGTTCTTGCTCTATCTCCCATTTCCCTCTGCTTCTGTCTTCCCTCTGGCCTTGTCCTCTTCCCATCACCTTTGCTACTTCTGTTGTTGCTTCCATCTTCTTTCCCATCTTTCTTCTCTGCTTCTCCAACTTTGTCCACTCCCCATCTGTCTCTAGATTTTGTTTCCTACTCTTCGTTTCACTTTCTACCTTCTGGTTACTTGCCACCACTACCATTGTTTTGAGCTTCAGGTTTCCCGCCTCCACTCCTTTCATCCTGATGCTCTGTCATTTCTTCAGGCATTGATCAGGCTTTCAGCTGGTCACTTGATCTTAGCCCAAGAAGCCAAGAAAATATGATGGGAACCTACCACAAAAATAGGTTAGTGCAACTCATCTGAATAAGACATATGTTTGCGCCCATTAAATGCAATCTTCTTCAGTGCCGACTCTTTTTCAACATTGCTCCCTCTGTTGCCTCCTTTCTCAGCCTGGTGCATATGATTAGTGTGGTCCCACCCTCCACGAGATGAAGTCAGACCAGGTTGCCCTGAATCTAATCTTTCATATAAATTTTTGGAGAATTCCAGGACTTGTGACAAGAACACCTAGTTCCAGTCATGAGTGGGGGCTAATTAGCACATGGATCTTTTGTGTATCTGAAATATACACACCATGCTGAACAGTACTGAGCTGTGGGGTCACTGTGGAGGGTGGTGCCACACTTATATTTGCCAGGCTGAGAGAGTGCGTGAAACAGGGATTCTGGGTGAATGTATGCAGTGTAATGACTCACCATGGATTTAAATGCTGTTGACTCTGGTAGGACCAAGCCCAGTGAACTATGTGGTAAATCGTTAGTCTTTTTTTACTTTGGATTAGTACTGTGCATAGTTTATACTAGATACAACTTGGCAGGGGAGATCCCATCATTATCATCAAGATAGTTTTTCCAGGGTGAGGCTTGTCCCTTGCACTTTGGACAGGCTGCGCTCTTCAAATTTCCCCAAATGCAGGAAAGTGCACTACACAATTTTGTGGTAGTGAGGAGCTGCTGTCTTGCTCCCCCCTGGCTTGCTCCTTGCCTTTTTGGCTAGGGGCAAGCGAGACTAGGAGGGATCCAAACCCCAGGGTCTCTGGGCCCTGGGCTTGCACGCAGGATGTCTGCCACAGAATTGGGGAGTATCTGAAGCCTCAGAATGATGGGGCTGGGAAGGAGGATACTTGCCCAGTGGTAGAGCCACATAGACTTGAATGGCACAGCTCTACTTAGTCAACATTTGGAACTTGACTCTTAGGCTTTGCCCAGTAGAATTCAGAACTGATTTGGTCCTAGGAAAGAAATTGAAAAAAAAAGTTTACCCTAGATACAAGTAGGTGCCAAAATGCTGCTCAAAAGTGTATTCATGAAACACCTGTGCTAAAAATTGCGGCAGTTAAAAAAAAAAAAAGGGGGTTATATGCATCAATTCTGGAGGAACTAAGTCTATGGGTACTATATGCAAATTGCTATGGCCATATTTAATTTCAAGGTTATTGTTTTCAAATTTGTTCCTCATGTCTACGTGCTCAGATAGAACGGGTGTGATTGTAAGGAAGTGGGCAAGGGGCTGTCGGGGCGGAAAAGTTAGAAGGAAGTAGACAGCAAAGGGCTACCTAACCCCCTCAGATTTAGTTTCCCTGATGTACCAGTGGGAGAGGGACAAATTCAAGGCAAACTTCCAATAATTAGATTCTATACTTGGAAAATTGTAACAAATTTATACATTTTCCATATATAGAATCTAATTATTGAGGGGGGGGGGCATCTTATAATTAGGGTCATCTTCTATTCAAGTAAATATGGTGATAGAGAAAGGCTTTTATGCAAAACCAAATGTGCTTAAGTCATTTTCTTTGTGCACTTTTTATTATTTCAGATATGTGGGACATTTAAGTAACCTACTCTCCCACAGTCCAAGTTTTCTGCTTGGTCTTGTTGAGAGCTCAATAATAAAAATAATAACAACTTTTGACATAATAGTCTATTCTCCCCTTAAAAGGGCTATAATATCACAAAGAAAATATGATGATTTCACTGGAGGGCAACAGTTGAAAGAAAAAATCTATAATTGGCAAATATCATACACGGAAAGGAAAATAGAAAGTAAGAGAAAATTAAATAGGTTCATGATACAACATGTGAACATTTCCCTTGATAGTTTGTCTATCAAATATTTTTCATACATGCGCATGCTAAAAAACATGAATTCAAGATTCCTGAACCATTCTCCAACTTCCCACTGCTAACCCCATGCTACGAGCATACATTTTTTATTAGCTCTGGTTTATTTTTATTTTTAGCTCCCTCTTCTTTTGTATTTTAAAGGCTGTACTTTAATGCACTAATATATTCTTGGTCATAGCAATGTTTTACTGTTGTTTGTTTTAGTGCACCCTTCACATCTACTTATGTTGCAATGACATTCTTTCTGGCATGGAAGTATTTAACATAATTTGTTAAGAGAAAACAGTAACGTGACTAACATTTTGTATAGTGCATTGTAATGTTTTTATTGAGGTTTTTGTTTGTTTTGTGTTGTTTTTTATATACATGTTGCCTTCTATTTATGATAAAGAAGGCAAAGTCAAGCAGATGTGGTCACATTATTTATTTGACTATTTATGTGTTTATTTATTTCTTTATTAGCATGAGTTCACAGTTATTTGATAGGCCGTTTTTTCCAGATTTCTCATCTATAAACAATATTTGAATTAAACAGACACAGCTCTGAATTTTAGCATAACATCAGGAAATTAGGCCCACATTTTTTTCTGTGTTTTTATGCTTGGCTTGTTTGGCTGTATTTTCAAAGATTTCAGTCTACTTTCATGTTCTATTTCCATGTGTAAATTTTAAATTTACAGATCTCACAGTGTGATTAATCAATTAGAGTTTTATTTGCTTGTACAAATATGGTTTGGGGCATATCCTGTTTGTCATTTGTGCATAGAAGTGCTCTAAAACATTTCATAGGGGATAGACTTTGGATTTTGAACATATGATAATTAAATTAATACATATATACTTTCATTTGAAAAAATGCATTTTGAAAACTACAACTGAAATGATAGGAGATGGATTAACATTATACATTAATTTAATTTTCTTGGTACTAGTGTCAGAAAAGCTTTACAGTATTTTGTTTCTAGTTGTTGCTATTTGCTGTGCTGTACATCTAGATGGAATTTTTTGAGAATTCATGTCACAACATAGTTAAAGTTATCCCATCTTACAGCTCCATAAATTAGAAATAAACAGAAATTTAGAAAATGAATCTACTGAGAAACATGCATTACATTTTTACTAAACATACTCATAATCTGATTTTGATGAAATGTATATTCAGTGAAGCAGTTTGAAAGAACATAGTTGTAAGGCCATGTAAGGTCATGAATGTAACATAGGAGTAAGGTCATGAATGTAAGATTATTGCTTGCAAATCCATGTTTCCCACATATTTCACTTGGACTAAAATTGAGTAAAAAAAAAAAGGGGGGGTATAAAAATAGTTTTGCTATGAAGTCACATCCATGATATACAGCAATAGATATACAGCAATAGTTGTGGTATGATAGGACAATGTAAGATGAAAGTATAAATATGTGATTAGTAAGATATGCTGAACTGTTAGATGGGAGAAAGAACAATAGAGTCACAGGATAATTGAAGGGAGGCTTACATTTATTATGTGGATATGTTGAACTACGCCTAAGTTCCACTTAGCTACTTATATCTGGGAGTTGTCTTGATTAAAGATTGCAAATACGTAAAAACGCTATACACAGTGGATTGGTTGTATTTTTTACATCTTCAATTTTTTTCTTGATGTTTGAGGGCTTTATTACACTTCGCATTTTTTGTTGCTCAAATGTTGACTGGTGTTAGTGGTAGCCCAAGTTTGGAATAGTCAAATCTTAAGGCCAAAAACCTTCTCTGACCATCCCCCACCTATGCAGCTGTGACTTGCCACTAGCGGGCTGGCAAGCAGAGGGCTGACTAGGAGCTACAGTTATGAGTTGCCACTACAAGACTGGTGAGCCAGGACAGGCTTCTGTCCCTGCTTTAGGTTGGGATGTGACAAAGGGGTTGTTGGGAAGGGGGTGGCAGCAACATGAAGCTGGGAAGTAGAGGGTTAATGAGATGTGCATGGGTAATAAAATGGGAGCTGAAAAGGAAATGGGGTTGGAGGAAGCGTGGTGAAATGAAGGAAGTCAGCCACTGAAGGATAAAATAAAAAGTTAAAAAAAAAGATTTAAAAAAGAAATAAAGAGGAAGTAAATAAAAGAAGGTCTCATGTTTAGATAAATTGGGATTGGGGTATAGGCGGGGTGCTGGTTTTGCTTTCTGGGGTGGCTGGGAGGTAGGAACAGTGAGGGAAGGCTCTTTTGGAGGAGCCTACTGCCCCTGCCCCAGGAAGGAAGCCCCAGGTCATGGGGACCTGATCCAGCCCCCTACCTTTTTCCCTCCCCACCCCTGCTAGATCCCACTCCTGGAACCATCTGTATCCTGCAAACTGGATAGCTGGCATGTGCTCTGGAAGCTATTTGTACTGGGTTGCACCTCTAGGCCAGGGACAGACATACACATAAACTAGTTTAAGTGATCAGAAACTGGTTTAAACCTGTAACAGAAGAGACATTCAGTGCAAATAAACCAGTTTCAAAATGGCTGAAACCAGTTTGAGATAAGCCTGGTTGAATGTAGTATCAGACTTAATTGATTTGGCTCAGACTGGTTTCTGCATTGTCTGTCTCAGACCCTTTGCTGGTTTGAGTTAAATCAGAGACCCCCGGCATCCCAGCATGCTCTCTGTGCGAGACTCTCTGCTCCAGCCCAGCCAGGCTGGCCCTGCCCCTCTGCTCTTCAGCCTGAGCAGGGACCAGCAGGAGCAGGGGTCTGGCCAGAGAGGGGTTTATTTCCCGCTCCCTGTGCCACTGGCAGGGACCCAAGCCAGGTCTTCCCACACCCCCCTCACTGCTGCAGCAGGCGGGCACCATGGCCCCTGAGGCAGAGGGGGGCAGGGAGCAGAGTTAGTTTCCCCTCTACACCACAGGCAGCTGGATGGCTCCCTGCCTGGAATAGGCCCCCGGCTGTCCCCTCCACTGGAGGGAGGAGGAATAATCTTGCTCCTGCCCCACCCCTCAGGGGTCCTGACTGGCTGTACCCCCTCCCCGCTGCTGCAGTGGGAGGGGACAGGGCCCTTACTGGGGGCAGCATCCTGCCACACTGTGGGAGAGAGCAAGCCCCATCCTGGCGAGGGGCTGAGCTGTGGGCTCGGGCTGTGCGCAGCAGCGCCAGGGTGTGGAGCGGGTCAGAACCTTACAGGCCCCCACAGCACCGCCACACTCCACAACAGCTCTGTCAGCCCCACAGGGAAGCCGTGTCAGGCTCCTGCCTGTCAGGCACTCACCGCCTGCCCCCTCTGAGCCCAGAGCAGTGGCTGCTGGGCCAGCAGACCCTGCTGCAGTGTAAGCAGCTGAATAAGCCTCTTCCTGCTGGGATGGGGCTTTCCCCAAGCATAGAGGTCGCTCGCACCATAGTGGGGTCGGCCCAGCCCAGCCTGACTGCCGCTTTGTGCTTTCTGCCCAGCCTGGCCACCACTGGCCCAGAGTACAGCGTCCAGGTAGCCACTGCTCTCTGCTCGGAGCTGGCTCCTTAGCGGAAAGAGGAGGCTTATTCAGCCACTGGCCACTGGGATTGCAGTGGGGGTCTGCCCAGCCTGGCCACAGCTGAAACTCAGGGGTGAATAACAAAGGCAGGGCATCCACTAATTGGGAGCCCTGGGGCTGCAGGGTAGCCCCTCCAGGAGTGCAAGTTTTGGGGCCAACAGCTGAATAAGCCCCTTCAGTGGCTTGCCCAAGTATAGAACAAGTGGCAGGGGCAGGGCCCTGCCCCGCCCAGCAGCTGGAGCGGGGAGCAGTGAGTGCGCAATTGGCAGGAGCCGGTCACGGCTTCCCATGCACATGGCACCCCCTGTCTGACCGCCCTCCTCCCGCTCCCTCCCAACCCCCTGCAGGCTGGAACTCTGC